ATAAAATTGGGAAAGATTTTCTCCTTTTATAGCTCCTAATTACTAACTTTTAGTCTTTTCCACAAGATATTTTTTGTTCTCTGTTATTTCTGCCACCCCTGAGAGTAAACTGATGTGTAGAGAGCAGAATTTCACCCCAGCTAGTAAAAATTATGATTTTTTTTTTCTCCCCTAATTACTATGTAGAAAATTATCAAGGCTGAAAAGTGACACGTAGGAAATTCTTACTGGACTTAAGCTTCCTGCCTACCTCCCTTCTTTGAACAAAGCTGTCTTGGCTTATTACAAACCTATTCCTCTACCCCTCAGCATTGCTCTTCGTTTCCCTGGTGCTGTTGCAAGCTTCATGTGAAATGTATAAACACGTGGGCAGGTCAGGTTATTAATTGTGTAGGCAAGGATTAAAGAGCTTTAACACTGTTCGAAGCCCTGGCAAGAACATTTGTGCCTGCTTCTGAAAGGAGAATTTACATTTTCACAGTTGCATAATCACACAGGTAGAAGGGATCTAGGCTGCAGGTGGTTTCACTGCTATGTACATCTAGGTAAAGATCCATATAGCACATGTTTGTCTGTATGTGACTCTGGTACTGGGTGAGGATAAGGGGCACAATTGTGAAAGATAAAAGGCTATTCCTCGCTCATCCTAACGTTCCAAAGGGACTTCCTCAACTTATCTGTGTTATAGCTGTTTGCAGTGGCTGTTTGACTTCTTAACAGCATTAGGCGCTGATTCAGAGAGTGATTTTATGTTAAGGGATCCTAGCAGTAATTGCATTTCTAATGACATTCTCTGTGAGGAAACCTCTGCCATGACTGTGATGAGGAAGTATTAGTGACGGGCAGGTCATGGCTGATTCTTGTGTTTGTGTGAGATGAATCTGGGCTTGGAGATAATGGGACAACTGATCCTCGGTGGCTTAATATTGAACATTTTCCTCTCAGTGATTTCAGCATAAAAGTCCCACCCTGTTGTGGGAGTTTTTATTATCTGTACATTTTATGCTTCGATAATTATATGGGATCTGCATAGCTCTAATTTGGACAAGTCCTGAAGGGCGCTTCATTTCCCCAGCCTCACAGGTCACACCAAAAATGGCACAGCCTAGTGCCTTTTGGATCAGGCTTTTAAGTGGCATTTTTACAAACAGTTCCCTTTCTTTCCATTGTCAGGGTCTAGGGTTACTTTTAGTTTTGTCTTTTAACTCTCATAAAATGTCCTCTTGGTATTTGATCATGGGCTTACTGGGTGGTGATGGCACTGGCTGTGTAATGCAGAGTATTTTTTTGTTATCATACTTCTGTGTCATGTAAAAAGATTAGATATGCATATAAAGCACTTTTCCTGCCAGGTTCGAAAATGCCTTCAAATGGTGCTTCTTGGCATAGTATATGTTTAGATAGTATTGGTGCAGTGAATACTGTAGGATTCCCATTTTTAGGTTGTTTTCATTCTGCTTGTATAGTCTCATTTACAGAAAACATACACATATATATACCTTTTCTTTTATATTTCCACCATCCACCTTTAAAACTTGCTGATAGGATATCAGGAAAATCGAACATGTTTACACTGGGTATTCCTAAGAGGATTTACATTTCTGCAGGTCCATGACCTGCAGAGGATTTTGTAGCTGTCAACCCTACATGGGCTGTTTTTAGCTTTGCAGGTAACACAGGTAGGAAAAAGCCCTGAGAAGCTTGTTTGAGAGAGGTGAAGTAAACTGTAAGTACAGCGATACACAGACAGCTATTTCTACCCTCTTTCTGGATAGAAAAGAAAACCAGGTGTGGTGTTGGTTAGGAGCAGTATTAAGGTTGGTGATTAGACATCTTTCTAGTTCATAAAAGAATATGAGGTTAGGTTGAATAAAATATATTCTTACTAAAACAATATTAAATAATAGCACAAGATTGAAAGAAATGAAAATGAATGAGTAGAATAAACAGTAAAACATCCTAAAGTGTTAGCCTACATGTTTAAAAAATACTTGGAAATTAAATATGTAGAGAAGGTAAAATAAGACCAAGGAGGCATGGTTAAGGGTTTGATTGTTTAACTCTTTCAATAAAGGATGTTTCTGGACAACTTACCATCCATTCTTGCCTTCATTAGCTAAAGACAGGAGGCTAAAGCCTCGGTACCGCTCATCCGTTTCGATTTTAACAAGATAGAAATTCTATTTCTTCATTTCTGCCAAAAGAAATCTGCAATATCTTCATATAATTTCAGTGCCAATAGGTGCAAATTAATCTATTAAAAATGACAGTTTTATTTGGGCCTAATATATTCCAAGACAAACAGAATTCTCTCATCAGATTCTCTGGGTTCTTGTGTCTTCATCAGATTCTGCCCACAAAGATCAGTTTTCAGGCTTAGACCTTCCTTTTCTGCCTGCCTTATTCTGAGGCATTTGGAATTTTGACCAAATAAGGATATTAGAAGTTATCTAAAATCTATGAAATTTTAGAAGTATTTCTGTTCATTCTAAAAATTTTAGGTAGTTCCTAAACTAAGTAGAATGGAAGTGTAAGCAGCACCTTGAGATCTTTTCTTCAAGGAGGAACTGTTTTGCAGTGAAAGACACAGGACTGAAGAGGGGTTCTTAATCCTGTGGAAGCTGGATGAAGAGTTTGTGAGCTGCAGGACAGAAGTGTTTGGGGGAAGCACAGGGGCGCCTGTCTGTTTGCACGTGACTGCAATCCTGGCTTCAAGGGCAGCACTTTCAGGAACTGCAAAGAACCAGTATAATTTATAATGTGTGAGGAATGACTATGCAGTATATTTAAGGGCACCCTGATGCCACCCATAAGATTAGATTCACTATTTGTAAGAACAGCAAAGTTAGACGTGTGATTGTGGGCCAGAGGCTGCTCCGCAAAGTATGCAGAGCCCTGCATGCCTGTATGCACTGTTCAGCCTAACACAGCACAGGCATGGTGCTCCCTCAGCGGCTTTCTGAGGCACATCCAGACAGGTTGGTTGACACCTACCTCCAGACTTCTCATTAGACTGGCTGCAAGACCCCCAAGAGAAAGGGAGGGACATGAGGCTGTGAGGTTGCTGTAATCCACCTACTTCCCAGAGTCCTTGGTCTGAGCAATGTTGACCCTGCCTTGAAGCACTTTCTGGTTATTGTTCAGTGTTAGAGATGTGAAACAGGATTTGTATGAATTCCCAATCTGTCTGAATTTTACGGGTCCACTTTTGTGGTTGTTTTTCCTCTGTTACACAGTGTCATTGCTATTGACTGTGTTGTCTTTTTCTGGTTGGATTTCTTCAGATGGTAATTCTTGTGCTAAGTCATGGTGCCTCTGGTTTCATGGTCTGTTTGTTGCGTGACTCACAATTGTTTGACCTATGAGATTTACTTGTCCTTTTTCTACAGGTTTTAATTTGATGTCAAAAAACCATTATGCTTTCAAAGACTTAGAGTTCTGATGTTCAACAGCCAAAAGTATTGATTTGCAATTGGCAGGAGGGTGTGTTTGCTTCAACTAGCAGTGCTTTTAAAAATTAATTCCATGTGCTTTATGCCAAAGAGCCCCTGTCCCCCGTTTCAAACCACCTTCGTGTTGACTGCAGCAAAGCCTACCGCATTAAAAATGAAATAGTGTTTATGCCAAATGTTCTTCCATATATTTTCAAACCTTTTAGCGGTGTTCGCACTGAAATTTTTCACCTAAAAGCCACAGCAGTTCAGAGCTCTACTTGATGCTTTTTTTGTAAAGACATCCGCTTTCTGTCAAGAAAGGGCTACATTCTGGCCCAGTGACCACGAGCGGTGGCTTACCCATACACATTGTCCTCTTGGCACGTATGGGGATAGGTACGTGTGAGTTTCCTATGCTGTGAAAGGGAGTAAAATCTGCCCCATGACACTGAGTAATCTGGTTATTTTAATCACTACCTGCGACTCTCTGAATTATCGTCTGTATTATGGGATAATACGATCTCTTCGGTATTCAACAATGACTTTTTAAAAATTACCATATATATTATACAGAGCTAATATATTAAGAGATACCTTAAGGGTAATTATCAAGTGTGTAATTTCATTTGTAGGTTCTTATAATGATGGTTAATGTCATAAATGCCTTTTAATGAAATTATAGGCTTGTAGCCCTGCCTGACTATCCTTTGTGTGTCGTATAATTAATAAGACCAAGCTTTGGTGTTCATCTCAGTGTCACAAAGCATCACGTAAACTTCCATACTGATGGTAAGTGGCTAGTCTGTCATCAGAGCAAGAAAAAGGCTAAGACCAGGCAGCTTGAGTATATGTTACCTTATATTTAAAGGCAGCTGGATGGGCTTGTTAACAAAAGTACTTCTAACAGAATATACAAGCTAAAAAAAGAAATGGCCATTGATCTCGTGTCTTATTATAATACTACATGCAAAATTTTAAGGGAGTGAAAAGGCAACTGGGTTGCAGCACTTGGAATGAAGAATTTTTTTCCTCCTACTCCACTGAGGGTAGTGAGTGTCTAAGCTAAAAGCATTTGGAGATGGATAAGAAGTTTCATCTTGAATTGAAGACACTTGCCTGGAATGTAGAAGAGCTGGGATTGTTTCCCAGTCTGGCCTAATTTCTGTGGGGCTCTGGCTAAATTGATTATTTTTTATGATCTTCAGATTACCTGTCTGAAAACTAAGGGCCATAATATTTCTTTTCTTTGTCTCACATTTCCAGATTTTAAACTTGCTGGAGCAAAGGAGATATCTATGTGGTTTTTTGTTGGGGTGGTTTTTTTTTTTCCCTTTGGCAGTTACCATAGAATCTTATAGAATCGTTCACATTGGAAGAAACTAAGGTCATCTAATCCCACCTCCTGCTCAGAGCAGGGACAGTATTGAACTTCTGCCCACTAGGCCAGTTTCTTATTGTGAGTACTAAGAAGGGAACCAGAAATTTTACAGGTCACCAGTGAAAAGTATTTCTAAAAAAAATCATGTAAGACTCATTAAGATTATTTTATTGTTCTTCATCCTTCAGGGGATGATGTACCTGGAAGAGAGGAGACTTGTCCACCGGGACTTGGCAGCACGTAATGTCTTGGTGAAATCACCAAACCACGTGAAGATCACTGACTTCGGCTTGGCCAGACTTTTGGAAGGGGATGAGAAGGAGTATAATGCTGATGGAGGGAAGGTGGGTGCTGTACATGTTTGGAAGTAAATATATCCCTGTGACAAACTTCCTTTAGGAGTTACTCTTTAGGGCAGTGTATCCCTACGGGACTATTATCTATGTGAGAAAGTCTGTCAGCGACTTAGCAAACTGTGTTCTGACAGCATACACAAAAGCTGTTCATTTTTTGTTCAGTGAGCTTCTCCAGGTGCTGAAATATAATTGACTGAACAGCGTTCACACTCAGAGCTGGGGTTTGTTCATATGCTCCATTTTGGGTCTTGTTTTGAAGACTTCTGAAGTCAGTTCAATGAGTGATGGATGTTCTAGGGCATTTCTGCCAAGCCTCTTTCTCTGGTCAGTATGACCTCCGTAACTTGCAGTCCCATTTTCCCAGACAGGTAATTTTCCAGAAAACAAAATGGAAGGCCACAAAACATGTTTGTAGTTGTAGCATATAAGAGTTTACATATGCTCAGGGAAGAGTCATCTCTAGCCTGCATATGCTATTTCTTGCATCCAGGTCTCCAATACCATGCTGAATGCCAGGGCACTAAAAAGCTAGCTTGAGGATTATTTTGAAGCCAGATGTTTTCCCATATTGTTGTCAGCATACAACAACATCCATGTAGTACCTCACCTCATTTCTAATGCCTTTAGATTAATGCATTATCAAATTCAGAAGGCTGTATGTAAAGGCTGTAAGTATATACTGCTTCCAGCTGCTCCCTAAACATCTTGAAATTCCACATTTCAGCCTGCCACAAAATCCCAAGGGATTCTACCTCTCCTGTCATTCCTTTTCCTGAATGTTCAGTTTGCTTTGTCTACTTGCTATCTGTGTTTTTCTGTGCTCACTCATGCCCTTGTCTGGGACAAACAGCTGTTGCCAGTGTGTGCTTTTCTCCTGGATGGGCTGCTGCTTTATTTGTGTGGCTGCTGCCCTTGGCAGCTGTTGCATGGATCACATCAGCATTTCAGTCAATGAGGTGAAGAGCTTGAAAAGAGTCACCAGTGCTTTCCCGTTTCCCCAGTAAAGAGACCTCCTGGCAAGGAAGGTGGAGTTTTGGCAGTATTCCCTGATTCCTTCAGTTCTCTAATCCCCTCTTCAGTAACCTGTCTGCCTCTTCCCTCCATCAGCCAGTGAATGACAGAAAATGAACTGGTCCTTGCAAACCAGCTGTTCTCTGGCAGCTGTTAGATGGTATCTTGGACTTCTGAGGCCAATCACACTGCTGGGAGTTCTGGAGCAGGATTTACACATCAGATGTGCCATTTCCCAGTTCTAGAGAAGCATCTTGTGAAGTGTAGAAGACATTCGCAGCTTAAAGTTGCATTGAGAGCATGTTAAGACCGATTCAGGCTGGATAAAAGGAAAAACTTTTTCACTGTAAGAACAATCAAGCAGTTGATCAGGTTGTCCGGGGAGGTGGTGCAGTTTCCATCTTTGGAGATTTTCAAGTTCAGACTGGATAAAACCCTGATTAGCTTGGTCTGATCTCATAGCTGAACCTGCTTTGAGCCTGAGGTTGAACTAGAGACTTCCTGAGGTCCCTTCCAACCTGAGTTATCCCATGATGAGTAATGCAGCAGTTGTTCATGTTTGGAGCTACCCAGTTGTATTTAATGGGAATGAACACTTCTGCAGAGTTTAGTGGAGGAGGATGAACTGTCTTTGCAAGTGCTAAACCAACCTTTATTAAAGACTGCTATTTTTGCCATAACTGTATAGGTTATGTTCATTAGTCAACTTCATGGAAGGTATTTTCGTAAGGGTTTGAATGAAGACACATCCTCTGCTTTTACACCCACCATCTGTTCAGATTTTGCGTGCAGTTACGTATCTCTCTGGTTTATTCCAGTACATCTTCCATAGTTCCAAACTAGAGGTAACCCATACAAGTCCATGCCAAGTGAAGATCTGGTTTTGATGTCTGTCCATTAGAAAGTAATGTACTGCAAGACTGTGCCTCACAGGCCCAGCTCAGGAATAGGAAACACTGTGAATCTCATTTTAACACTAACTCAAGAGGGCAAACCCTTATGCCAAACCTAGGTTTGTGTTTGCCTATACAGCCTTTTCTGTCAGAAGAGATGAGCTCCCCCCAAGGGTGACTCAGAGCCAAAGGCTAACTTAGGATTTTTGACTCGCTTTCAGGAGCAACTTTTCTCACTGTAGTAATGATACAGAGAACTGGGAAGGCTAAGTTCCTAATGAATATTAGAAGTTAGAAATTAAGCACTGTAAATTCTCCCCATTGCCTGTTTACTCTGATGATGATTATGTGGACTGTGAAGTACTGTGGACACTGCGTTATTAGCTAGCCTCATTAGAGAGCAGTCGAGATAGCAGTGTCTGGTTTTGCAAACTGTTCAGGCAAAAGAGCTTCTGTATTCCACCTTCACTGCTGCACTTCAGCTTTAGGGGGATTGGATATAATTTTTGTCTTGGTCCCATCTTTACACAAGTGTGATGAAAAAGTGAGTCATTCCACTACAACTGAATCAGTAAAATTTGGGTGGTATGAGAAGTTCTGCAGATAACTGGTTCATATTTCTCACTTCCATACGTTTTATGAGGCACAGCCCCATTCTAGAGGGCAGTAACAACCATTTCTTCTGCTGCTTTTTTTTTAAGCTTGCAGTTGAAAAAGGAAACAGGGAGGAAGCTGATGTCTACATACAGGATCTATATGTATTGTTTTAATATTATATTTCTAAGGCTACATTTCCAATTAAGTGGATGGCTCTGGAGTGCATACACTACAGGAAATTTACCCATCAGAGTGATGTTTGGAGCTATGGTAAATCTTCATGTGATTTAGTTTAAAAATTTGTCTTTTGTAAAGCATTAAACCAAGTTGTGTTACTATGTTATTGGTATCCCTTTTTCCTAGAAATGTTAATTCTAGTGGTTTTTGCTCTTCCTTTTTCTTCTATTTCTTGGTGTTGTTTTTTTTTCTTTAATGTGTAACTCTAAACAGCAATTGTTACTTGTCTCCTGCGTTACTTCCCTGCTCACTAAAATACATTACCATGATGTCCCTGCTGGGATGACTGCCGTAAGGTTTGGGCTGGTAGCAGTTTGGCTGGTTATTATGACAGAAGAAAGGCCTCTTTCAGCTCAGTCACAGATTCATAAAAATACAGCTGCAGGTCATAATTTTCAGCAGTCCTTTGAAAATCTTAACTCTAAAAGCCATGGATGTCAAAAAACATTTTCAGGCTTATGGGACTTTCTGTACCTACAGCCAGATAAAAGGGAATTTGTCATAATACAGAGCAAATACAGCAAGAGAAAGAAGAGAAAGGGACGAGCTCTCCAAGCTAACTAAAACAAGCAACCATTTAATTTCACAGGTAACTTGGTAATTGGTTAAGACAGGTCAGCTCATGTGCACTCCACACACCAAAAAGAAAACTCACATTTGAGAAATAAGATGTTCATTTACAGTTGTTAATTCTGTTATCCAGACGAGCTATTGTGCCACATATGCTGAGCTGTCTGCCTGTTTATCCAGTATAGCTATTACTAATAAAATAATGTATACCTTTGTAAGTGGAATTTCTCAGCAGTTTCTAGAGCTATGGCCTTCTATTTACATTTCCTGTTGCCGTATCATTTTGAAACAAAAAGGTGTACAATTCTATTCATTACTCACTTTTACCTGTGGGTAGCAGCAAAAGACACTGTTTGCTGTGACTGGTTAGCTGCCCTCTTCTATTCAGCTGAGGAAAACATATGAAAGTTAAATCGATCATGTAAAGCCGCTCCTTCTTCTCAAATTGTCTATATCCCATATCAGTTAGGAAAAATTGTGCCTTGATTCATGAAATTTATTTTAAATGCAGGAAGACCAAAATATCTATAGTCAGAAAGGACAAGACCAAAAACAATTGCTGAGTTATAGTTGACAAACATCAACAAAGAGGTGAATGAGGGTGAAATAAATACATGTTTTATACATATGGTAATTTTGCCCATCACCTTTCACATTAGCACAACAGCTGGCAAAATATGGTCATTGATCTGGAAGCTTGTTTAAAATGACCTTTGCAATAAAAATAAAAGTGAAACTGGTGTGAGAGCAGCATTTTCAATATTTAAGATTTTGTTGGGAGATTAATTCTGTTACTTATTATATATGATCTTTATTTTCAGCTCTAATGCCAAACCAAATCCTATGGCTATTCAAAAAGAATCTTGATTTTGAAGCACAGCACTATCATAACTCAAATCCTTAAGGTGATTTAAGGGAAAAAAATAATACAAGTGGCTGTGAATGACTTACAAGACAAAGACAATGACATGATGTTACTCAGTGCTATACCTTTGTGGGAAATTGATGCTCTAAGTTAGGGAACATCTACGTTTTTTCCCCTTAAAATAATAGAGTACATCAGCCATTCATTTCCCTTTTGATATGATAAAAGAGTGTGATGCATTCTTTTGTTATTGCATCCATTTACTTTACCACCATTTATTTGTCTTAGACCTTTCTCATGTGCCTCAGTTCTATCATGCTGCTTCTTACACCAATAAAAATGAGGGAAGTTGTTTTTGAAGATTAACACAAAGTGCTGTTACACCATTTTCTTGAGCTTTTTAAATGGCAGACCAAACTTCAGTGTTTTGACAGGGACTGGTAAAGAAGAAGAGATTGCAGTCCAGAACTGGGCCAGAATACTGAGCTGTAAGAAACTGTGAAGGAATCTGAGTAGTATGACCTCAAATATTAACACTTTTTCTCTGTCTAGGAGTCACTATCTGGGAGCTTATGACCTTTGGTGGGAAGCCATACGATGGAATCCCAACTCGAGAGATCCCTGACCTCTTGGAGAAGGGAGAGCGGTTACCCCAACCT